CTTCCCAGAACTATCCTGAATAAGTATATAAACTTTCATAGAGCATATTCAACAGACAAAAACTAAATAGCACTTTAGCTCAGTGCTATAAAGCAGCACTGTAAAGTTTAAGATTCCTTAACCAACAGATGATGTAGAAGTGACTCAAAACTAAGAAACATAATTTTAAACATTTATACATGGTATATTTCTGTATTTGTAATTCTCTTTTATTTTCCACATTTACAGTTAAATTGAAGATTTATTCAGCAAATTTTAAATTTAAATGCACATTTTCACTTATTTTTCAGCACAAACATAGAGCAGAAAAATATTTGTTTGAACAATGCCAGACTCCTTTAAGAAAGCACCATCAAATTGAATCATGAAAGACTAATTTAGCCAACTGCTTCACTAAAGCCTACCAGTACTGCTGTTTACTAAATGCACACATAGGAATTCATCACATACAACCAGTTTTTGGAAGTAAAGCGTCCATTTATTGTCACTTTTTCTCTTTATTTTCATTGTTTGTTTCCAACTAACAGTTTAAATAAAATTAAACTATTTAAAAATCAACTAAACTTTTATATTATATTAAATTTATATTTTTATTCATAATTTTAAACTTGCATATACTATTAATTTTGTTCTATTGAATTTAAAAAAATTTTAAATACATTCATAAATGCGGTATAGATTCTATTAATTGTTTAATTTTGCATGTTGTAGCTTTAAAAATATTAATTAAAAGATTATAACAAAGAAATCAAGTATTTTCATAATAGTAATATCAGATGGATTGTAACTGCCATTTAGGGGCCGTCCATAAATTACGTAAGGGCGATTTCGGCCATTCTAGACCCCCACCCACCCCTGTGTAAGAAAAAGTAATATTTTCTTTTTATCCCCCCTCCCCTTCCTATCTTACGTAATATTTTGGCATGATTTTATAGAAAGATTTTAAATTAACCAAAAAAATGTTTTTAATGAAACCCTAAACACATTAGGTCCAAAATATATAATTATTAACTAGTTAATTAATATGTACTAATATTTATAAAAGACTTTATGTGAACACATTTTAAAATATAAAAATTTAATGAATTCGAATGAACAATTTATTTTAAGAACTTTATTTTTTAATTATTAACAATATTATTATTATTATCATCATCATTAATCAACGTCATTATAATTGTTTTTATATTAATTTTAATGTTCGCAAAAGACGCAAAAAACTTTGTCAGATCGACTAGCTTGAGCATGTGTAAAAGAAACATCATACAAGATAAAACAAGAGAGAATAGAAAGAAACTATATTCCGTTGCCATATTGATTACATCTTGGCTAAGGCCAAGAAAATAAACTACATGCTGCTAAAATGTGTTAGGTGCACTTGGGGACTAAATAATAAAGCTTATAAAACTCTATATAATGGGGCAATACAACCAATGCTACTTTACGCGGCCTCTGGCTGTGATCATGTAACTAATAAAAGTTCAGTAGCAAGTAAATTACTCTCTCTTCAAAGCCAGTTTGACATCAGAATTTCAAAGTGCGGCAGAACAGTTTTTACTAATGCCTCTCTGATACTAGCGGAGCTTATTCCTTTGCCACTATGTATCGTAGAAAAGGTTCTAAACTACTACATCAGAACTACAAACGTCAAGGCTCAACAACAATCTCTACTCCTATCTACGGCTGTTCATACGCTACCACATTGCAATTACCCTACTATCTCTGATCATCATCCTGTGAACAAGGTTATTTGGTGTCATCTGCTTCCTCCATGGATAATCACGCAGACATTAATATCTTCACAGATGGGTCCAAAAGTTCACTTCTTTTCGGCTCAATTATCTGTATCTTCATCCAAACTGACATATTTTGCCAAAAATATGTTAGAAGGTACAGATACCTCCAACATACCTCCATCTATTAAGCTGAAGAAGATGCCGACTACCAAGCTGTTCAGTGGGCCACTTCACTACCAAACGAAACTCTGTCTATCAACATTTACAGTGATTCTCTGTCTGTCCTAAAAGCTCTATTAAATCCCAATTGCAATAGCAATAAAATCGCATATATCCAGCACCATATTAAAAACCATGTAAATAAGATAACTTCTATATTTGTTCCTGGCTATACTGGCATACTAGGAAATGAAAAAGACGACTTTGAGGCTAAGGACACTGATTTGGACTACATTCGCATCCCTCTCTCACGTAGCAGCCTTAAAAATTATATTCGTAACAACGTTATGCAAAAGTGGAACCAGTAAAAGTAGTTAAGCAGTAAAACTGGTAGAATAACAAGACTTTATTTTCCTAGTGTTGAATGCAGGTTCTCATCACTACTTAGAGATTTAACGTTTGCTACTGCTCAACTACTTACTGAGCATGGTAATTTTAGAAGCTACCAAGCGATGTATAACCGGGCAGAAACTGCTCCTTGCTTTTGTGTACAGAAAACCTAGACACCGTCGACTATATGATCTATCATTGTCCAATTTACGATCAACATACACTTATTCTGAGATTAGAAATTTTTACGCTTGGTTTCGGGTGGCCACGTCCACTCGATAAGCTTGTTCAGAAACCACTATTTCATGCTTTTTACAATGATGTTAAAAAATATGAAAGAAAAGACTATTTATAATTTCTGGTTTTACATTTTAGTTTTCACTGAAAGCCGAATACTAATTTTATGCTTACTTTGTATTATGCATTTTGGTTTATGTATTCTTAGTGTTATACAACCCAAAGGAATGGTGCACTTATTCTAATAAAAAACAAGAGAGAGAAACCACCACACGGCCTTTCTCCCATGACAGAAAATGTGTAGAGCGTAAATCTGCTAGCGTTATTACTCTATCACGTCACACGAGACAACCAGCGTTCTTAATAGAAACCGCCAAATTGAAGCCAAATTCAAAACGCCACCACTCAACGAGATCAAAAAATAAAAATAAGAATATTACGTAAGACGAGATTACCCCCTACCCCTGAGTAAGAAATAGTAAGAAATCCTTTACCCCCACCCACCCCAAAACACCTTACGTAATTTATGGACGGCCCCTTTATTTTATTGGTGTCTTATGTTCAATTCGTTTTGTTAAACAGATTGTATCTATTTTAGAAAATATTTCTCTATAATTTGGAAGTTAAAATTCCTAAAACTGATTTTGAAAGTGTGTGTTATTAAAACAAATGTATTATCAAGTTATCTGAAAGATGGTAATATTAATTTTATTGTACTTTAAAATATGTATTAGTTGGTTAAATTTTATTAAAGTCCTTTATATAGCAATGAATGAACAAAATTAAAAAAACAATAATAGTTTATATTGGTAACTATCAAAAAAAAAAAAGAGTTTTCTGTTTGTGAAACAATAAATTTAAACATATAATAATAGTAATAATAATAAAAAATAAATAAACTGTGTCTTTTTAAATCAACCATGTAGCATTACACATTATCATCATAACCAATATAATATTTAACTTAAAGTATTGTTAATTTTCTCAGTTAGGAAATATTTAAAAATACATTATATTTACTTAATCTGTTTTTACAGATATTAGTCACTTTGTTAAATTGAGTGAATTTATTATTTTTTTAAGGAAAATATTGCAAAAGGAGTAAAACTAAATATGTTTGAGCAAACTGGAATAACAAGATAGTGCCCTATCTACAATAATTATTTCATGGAAGATTTTGAGTCACTTTGTCATCAAGAAAACAAAGAAATTTAGTTCAACAAAATTTTCCTATATTTTTTATCATCTAGACACCAATATAGTATATATAAATACTTTATTCATAATTTTTTAAATTTTAAAATTATTTACAATTATTTACACAATCTTTTTTTATGTTATCACCCTAATGCTTTCAATTTTGTATTAAAAACTATATAAACATTATTCTAAAAACCATTAAAGTGCTAATATATTAAAATCAGTATTTTGTTATCCAAATATATATTACAGGCAGATTATCTAAGAAATCTTTGAAATGTTTATAATCTAATCAACATGTTTTTAATTTTAAACTGAAATGTTTATTTCCGTAATAAATATTTCCTTTGTGAAAAATCTTAATTCCTAAACATGATTATTGGATAAATGATATAAATTGTATTACTAACACAAACCTACAGATAATATTGGTTTTTTAGATGAGATAATCTGCCAACTGGTGTACTGTACCTACTTTACTTTGCATGTTGCCATGGATACACAATAATTTTTAAATCAACAGCTTGGTTATATCCTATTTAAAACCTTAGAAAAGATTTAAAAACTGAACCACGTTGTTGTTGTTATATTTTTTAACCAGATAAGATTATTGAGATTATATTAAATCATCTGCTAATAAAAATAAATCTATATAAACAACCTCCATCCAACCTTTGAAACAGGAAAATGATTATGATACGCTCTGTCTAAACACAGTTACTTTCCTCTGTCTAGACCCAAAGGAAAATTTTAATAACTACATAAGATTTCTAATTTGACTAAATACACATATAAAAACAAGTTAATTGGTATGTTTATAGCATTGAGAAAAATAAGAAAAAGTTAAAAAGATTAATGAAAAATTATAATAAAGTTTCTCTTATTTAAACACGATTAAAATATGGTAAAAATGTTTATCTTGCAACCTCCTAGAAACATCTTTGTCTTAAAGTAAGGAAAAGTTGTTTGGACGATTTGAATTTGATCAAAAATTCATTTATCATTTGTCATTTTATGTTTAAGCATAAATTTAATAAAAATTCCAAACAACTGACACACATTATTCTTATCACTCCAATGGCCGCCATGACGCCCGCTCGGGGAGGACAAGGGGGAAGCCATTGACGTCACAAAAATGGTCGCATTTTACGAAGGGGAAACAGAACAATTCCCCCCCATTTTAGAATGGCTATCATATAAAATACATCGATATAATCTTAACTTTAAACTAACTAAAATTCATGTTTTGATGTAAAATAAAGAAAAACCAATCTTTACCAGGGAAAGCAGCTGGAAATACGAATGTAGGAGTACATACAACTTGTTCAGGGGTCGTGGCCATTTTCCCCCCTCACTGTGGTGCCATCTATCGTGATGTGGTATTGCTCGGATCAGCATAACCTGGTGGAAACAATATGAAATATATATAGTAATAAAAACACCATTTCTATCAAATGTACGATATCAATCGTAAACAAGACTCAGAAATGTATGAAAAAAATAAAAAGACTTCTAAGTTGATGATNCTATATAATAATAGAACTTTATTAAATAATCATATTTTAAGAAAGTTTCCCAGCAATAGTTCATACGAATTTAAAAGTGAAGGAGGTTGGATAAAAGTTTTTCCTCATTTTTTCATATATTCTGCTTACAGTGATAATTGCCAATATATAAAAAATGGTAATACTCAGCCTTGCATAAAGATAATTTCTGTAGTTCTTAGCGGTCTTACATTATTGAAGGAATATAATCCAAAGCCTTCTTGTTATATTAAAAATGAAAAAAAAACACTTTTTATGCGCTATTCTTATAATACTTCTAAGATATGTAACATTTTGAATGAAAATCATTTGTTTCTATCCGATTTTATTCTTACGAGAGTAAAATTAAGCGATAAAAGAAAAATAACTATGGTAGGGTGATCGCGTTCCCGATTTCCGGGAACTGTTCCCGGTGTTGCCTGTTTTTAATATTTGATTGTAGGATCAGTGTTTGAATAGAGCAATTTTATTAACACGTCAATATAATAGCACCAATTTATAGATCCATAAATAATTAAATTTTAAAAAACTAACCAAAATTCAATTACTTTAGTCCCCATTTTTACTGATTCTGAAATGTGTTCCCGGTTGGATTGTGAATGTTATGGATAACCCCCGTGAACTTTTATCTATTGACCCTCCCGAAAGTTTCACCTGCACTTCACTGATAACTAGAAAAGTTTGTCTAAAAATTTGAACTTTTTAGACCCAGTAGTTTTTCTTTAGAAGCGTCTGCAATGCTGGATAAAGAAAAGAAAAAATATAGCTTTTTTGGCAATTTTTGCATATTTCAATTGCTTGTATTTCGACAACTTCTTTATAGAAAAATCTAAAATTTTGTTCACTACCTAAGAATATCTTTATCATACTACAAGTATTTTTCGAACGCGGTATTCAAACTTACTTTACGTAAATAACAAAATTAAAATACAGTCTGGTTAGACTGTATTTTAATTTTGTTATTTACCAGGGAAGACCCTTAGGCGATGTTTACTGACCATTGACAGGGGTAATGTGACTGGTCAGCATAGTTTAACCCATCTATCCGTAATATGGTATGTCAACCAGATGTTAGGTTACTTAAGCTATACCTCTCCCCTGCGAATTATTAGTAAAGTAGTCCAACGCCTGCCTTTTGGGGAGTGCCTTCCTGAGTTGGTCAGACTTAACAAGAACTTCTGTACACCTGGAACCTGATAGTTGCTTCCGTGCTCGATTCTTTCCCTTGAATACGGATTCATCTGTATACCAGTTGGAAGACAATAGCACTGAAGAGAGATAAAAGTTGTAACGAAATTGCTATAATGAAGTGAAAAATGTAGAAATTCTATTATCTTACAACTCACAAAAAAGGAACTTTAAACTGAAGGATTGTTATAATGTGTTTGCACAACTGAAAAAAAATCTGTATATATATCATAAGTTATAAATTTTAATCTAACTTGAATAGAAACGTATTTTATTTATGCAGCATACGGAAATATCTTTTATTTATTTTTCAATCATATCTAAATTTATTATTTAAGTAAAAAAATGTTTTAAATTATTTAATTCTATAGTTTAGTTTAATATATTTTGTTCGTGTCGATCAAGTTACTGTATTTAGAAATAAGATAAGGGATTTTTTAAGCGTTAAATTTAAAAATAATGTTATCCATCTTTTTTTGTATTATTTTATATTTCATATAATACATATATAAAAAATTAAAAATTTATTATTCGATTTTGTATTACATAGCTACATATATAAAATAAAATAAAAAAAATATATATTAATTCTTAAAGATTATGCGTGTATTGACAGGCACATAGAGCACGTATGTTTAAAATTTGGTATAATATTAACACGTTTTAATTTTAAATAACGATAAATTTTTCATGTTTTTAATTATGTAAATCAAAACATAAATTTCTCAGTTTATTTGAGTTATTAATTTATTTATTGGATTTATTAATTCCAGAAATTTTCAAATATTTGAAGTTATTCCAAAATGATTCTTTTGAATATTCTCTTGATATTTATTCATACAGACAGCGTTTATCTTTACTTAGCACATATAAAAAATTATCAAATCGTCAAACAAAATATCTTTTATGAAAGATCAAAATCGAATGCCATCCGTGTGAATAATCCAAGACTTTCATTTACTGCATTTGGAAGACATTTTGAATTAAAATTAAGAGAAGATCATTCCATTCTATCTTCAGAAACCCAAATATTTCTTCATCAGAGTGAAAAAGTTATAAAGAAAAACTTAAGTAATTTTAGAGAATCTCTGCTCTATGAAGGAACAGTAGATAGAGAAAATTTCTCTCACATTCATGGTTATTTTCTTCGTGATGTTTTTGTTGGTAGAATAGTAATACCAGATGGCATATATTATTCAGAGTCTGCATTTCAACATCTTGAAGAATCTGTTTATAAAGACAAAGCTTTGATATACAAAGCATACGATTCAAAGGAATTGCGAACGATAGATAAATACCATAATACCTTTAAAAGAAATGTCGAAAACCAAAACTGTCAGAAAATATTATTAGATGATCCTATGCCAAATCTCAAGTTAGTATATTCTATTGATTTTAAATCTATTCAAATAAAGTTTTAAATAGGTTATATATATATATATATATATATATAAAACAATAATAATATGATTTGTATGATTTGTGGTTGATTACACCTATAATACTATACTTATGAAACTCAAAATCCTGTATAAACACAGTATTTGTGGCATCCGTGCCATAAAGCCATGCTACAAACACTGTGTTTATACAGGATTTTGAATTCCATACGTATAATGTTCAGTGGCGTGCCGTGACATAGGGAAGCTGTTTCTGTAAGAAGCTGACTTCCAGGGGCATCAGTTAATTGCGCGTCAGTGATGGTCCATTCGTATTCGTTTGTTCGATAAGCCAGTAAAAACCGTAGACTTCTCTAAATGTATTTTTAATATCACAATTGCATTCTGAATCGCTATCCACGATATAAAGGGCTAAAATTAAAAATAAAATGAAAAAAAACTTACTTGGTGAAATAAAATGTGTGGTGGATATTCCTACCTGGTACAAAATATTCTTCAATTGTACGAATATAGGCCTACTTTTAAAGAAAATTATAATTAAATATAGATTTGTAAAAAAACGTATATAAAAATAACAAAATATTCTTTACTTTTTAAATCTTAAAACAATCCACTTAGTCAGCTCCCTACCAGTGGCTAATGATTGGGATCAGAGACGGTCCTGCAGTGTATACATGCACGAGGACTACCAAATCCCGAGGGTGCCGATACCGGTCAATGTCAAATGCTTGTTTAGTCGCATCACTAGTATACCTCAAAGAACGCGACAGGTTGTTGTAAATTTTAAACGTTTCTCGCCATAGCTGTAAAAATCTAAATATGTTAAACTTAATAAATTGTCCATTGTTTGTTTTCTAACTAATTCGTTTTAGGACCAGGTGGTGTCCACGGAAATTTCCAAAATTTACTTTTCAGTCACTCTCATTGAACTGGAAAAATTCTTTCTTTATTACATATAGCATTACCAAGAAATCAGTCCCCACTGTACTCGGCTAAAGATTGGTACGGTTAAGCTTTTGTTTAAATATACTGGCTCTTTCAGCAGGGTTTTATTTATGTTCCCAATTCCCTAATCTCTTAATTATTTAACTACTTCTTAAGTAGAAATAAGTCGAAACCAGTTACTTTGTACTCGAATATTTGTAGTCTCGGGAAAAAAGTGGAAAGACTAATTTAAGAAAAATAAATTCTAGAGCTTTTTCTGTACCTTGTGCATCTCTCTCATTCATTAAATTTAGTTGTAAATGATGCTACCAAAGTAACGGTTAATTTTTTAACATTATACAAGAATTATACACGTGTTTTTCTACATCCCCTTATCGATGGGACATACGAAATCGTAATATCACTGGTTTAACATTGAAATCCGTAGGTAATATAAGATGGGAGAGCGGAATAAAAATATCAAATATTTTAATGGATTTTTTAAAACTCCTGTCAACTATACAGAACTATCATAAAAACATACCAGTAAATTCTATCGGTTGGGTTAAGTTATAAATCTACTCGTGATTCCCATAATGGGGCGAGGGTGGCCAAATATCTAGCAGGCAGGCGGCTAACTGCCCAGAACTGGTCCTGGATAGAATTAGATGCGGTATACGTGTAGCATCCACCCAAGGTCCTAGGCTTCCACCAGCTAAACCAGGTGAGGTTGGTGCTCTGTAAAGCGCATGCGCAAATCTGGCTTTTTGGATGCTGACGATATAGCGCTTCCACTCCGCTACTAATATTCGAATATACAATAGCGATCTTATCTTTTTTTTCACGTGTAGTATAGCAATTTGTAATAAGATACATAATGCGGTTATAGTAAAATATTGTGCGATTATTTTCATATGATTAAAATTAATATGTATTTATTTTTTAGAAAATACAAGTGAAGCGGCGCATCCACCGCTTCCGATGACGGCACGCCACTGATAATATTACAGGTGTAGTCTAACCACAAAATACCATATGACAATTCGTTTATAATTAGCGATTATGGCATTCATGGAAATTGGCCCACTCGCTCCGTTCGTGTGCCAAATTCCCATTCATGCTATAATCATCTATATTATAAACTAATTGCATAATATACTATTAATATTATAGAAGTGGAAAGTTATGCAGTATTGAATTGATGGCTGATTATACATTATATGAAGAATCTCATCGAGATATAAAATATACTATAAGCAGAATGCTCTATCATATAAAATCAGCAGACATCATTTTCCGAGAAACTGATTTTGATGAGGATCGATTTCCAGACGGAGTTGGTTTTATTGTCCTTTTGATAACTATCAATATGGATAAATTTGCTCATAATTCTCTTTTTAGCGATGAACTTGAATTTCCAGAATATTATTTATTCCAAATATCTCTCTATCATCAGAAATTTGAAAACTGCTTATTAGTGAATTTCTGCCAGAGACAGTTTGCTGAAAATGTCATAGGAATTTCTTACGTTCCTCACGAACGTAATGGTTTCATATCAGGAATTTGTCAGACACCTTTCCGTTATAGAAATTACATACGCACATTGAATGTACTTGGAATTACAATGTCTACTCATAAAAACGTACTGACGAAATCTACTATCGACATAGCCTTAACTCATGAATTCGGACATAGTTTTGGTAGTGATCACGATTCAGACGAGGATCCCAACTGCATCGTGAATGATTACTTGGGAAAATATATATTGAGTGAATATGCTACAGATGGATCAATGCCTAATAATAAATTATTTTCTTTATGCAGTAGAAAAACTATAAATAACGTCTTGAATAAGAAAGGTAAGTAAAACTCTATTCTAACCAATATCCGAGTCAAATTTGTTTACTTTCAAGTTTTATTAAAATTAAAGGTTGGTGTTTGAAAACATACAAAAATGAACCGTTCTGTGGGAACGGTATTACAGAAAGTGGTGAAGAATGTGATTGTGGCTCGATCAGCAATAATTCATGTAAAGAAATCGATTCATGTTGTACTGCATTGTATGACGAAGAAAATAAATGTAAGATTAGAAATGATATGGGTTACGAATGTAGTCCGCGAGAGCATGAATGTTGTAATGATAAATGTAAATTTATATCGTCTGAATCAAACACAACTTGCTATACCCACAAACCATGTGAAATGCATTCTACTTGTAATGGAATATCAGGTATTTGTCCTCCAGGAAAACATGTGAAAGACGGCACACCATGCAAAGGTACTCAATTCACTTGTAAATCTGGACAATGTAAAAGCTCTGTCTGTCAAGATCATCATTTACCACTTTGTCAGTGTTCTCTTGAAAGTAATCATCAGTGTCACGTGTGCTGTTTGGATCGTTTCAATGTTTGCAAGTCAGCCTCTGAATTTGGATACTACTCCTCGGATGGTAGATTATATTTAAAAATGGAAGGATCATCCTGTGGCGAAGAAAACATTTGTGATAGGTAAAAGCTCTTACGCATATTGCATAAAATCTGTCAAAATATAGCTGAACTTAATATTGATTAACTTTTTAAAACAGATATGGAAAATGTATTCCTAAAATCGAAGTAATCAGGGATGTAAATCATCGCATTATATACGAAGCATTAGAAAATTTGCCAACTGTACTGTTTATATGCCAACTACTTACGCTAATTTTGTTTTTAGGGCAACTTTTTATAAAACAATTGAATTTTCGCTTGCTTTTGTGAAAATTTCATAATTCTCTATTTTCATGTTTTGAAAATTTATGTTATGTTCTAAATTTATTAGTTTTGAGATTTTAAGTGACTTATTATAATTCTACAATCTAGTATATTCTGGTTGAATAAAGAATTATTTTAAAAGTTTATTCTTCATTCAAGTGAATAAAAAGCTATTTTATACATTTTGATTAATTATGATGATGTGAGATTCTAGCCGGGGGTACAAAGTAGTTTATTACTCTTGTATCACTTAATCGGCGGCTAGTTGGTAAAACTAGTTCTCGGGTCGTCTACAAGAATGGCTTTTCCTAATTTTATAGGAAATTCGAGTGCGGAGGGACTTACAGTTAGAATAAATTTAAAGCGGAATTTGGTGATGGCGAATTCACCTTCTTCCTCGTCAGGTTACCGACACCAGTTAATCAAATTTAGATACGCGGATTAACACGCGTGTAGAGATAATATTGATTTGATTCAGACAAAAATGAGGCATTTCTTTTAACATATAAATAAAAGAATTTAATAAACTATAATAAACAAAACTATACAAATTGGATCTAACCCAATAATTCCAATAAGCGATTAAGACAGAGTATGGATTTAACTAAATTATACAAGTCGAGAGAGAGAGCTCACAAATTCATATATAATCATACTACCTCAAAGTTTATTTTGTCTTTATGTTCATCTGTATTCTCGGATAGATCTTCATTTCATGGAGAGGTCTTGATTTGTCACAATATTATAAATTTTCTTCTTTTCTCCTAGATTAGTTCATTATTATACTCAATTGGATACGACTAAGGGCGTTGGCCTTATGGAGACAATATGGACTACGTCGGTCTTCTCTGAGTTCTTACGGCGTACTCCGAACTAAGGGCGTTGTCCTTAGGGAGCGAATATGGGATACCTCCTTTTCCTATGAGATCTTCGGACGTACTCCTAACTAAGGGCGTTGGCCTTAGGGAGACAATATGGGAACTTCTTTCCAATATGAGATTCCCCGACGTACTCCCCGAATCATGTAGATCTTTGACTATATCTCATGATTTATGACCAATCAGCTTATTTGTCTTCACTCACGTGAACGGATGAAAAGGGGAATTATTGAGGGGTCGACAATTCCCAGTGTAGTGAATTTATGATAGATAAGTGGAAAACAGAAGGATGTGTCTGCTTCCGTTAAAGGAAGTGGCTCTTTTATCCGTTTTCCTACGTTAGAAAAACGATATTTTCACACAAAAATAAAATATTTTACTTTATAATTTTAACGTTATATTTAAATTGTTAATTAGACCCAGGGGCTATTCGGATCTCACAATGATGACTCTCTCCGCTCCTCTTCGTCGTCATCATAGACGCCATCACACGCGAAATCCAGCAACGTGCACCGTATACGTTACTGTATGCTGACGATGTGCTCCTCGCCTCCACTGACAGGATCGACCTACAGCACGTGGTGTAGGTCGATCCTACACAATCGCCTTGCACAACACGGCCTTCGACTGAACCTGAAGAAGACGGAGTACTTGACGGACCCGACTGAACCAGGCACAATCGTTGTCGACGGCATCGGTCTTCCCCGAGCTGAGCACTTTAAATATCTCTGTTCTGTGATCTCCGGCGACAGTGACTTGCGAAGCTGTCGCACGCGTCAATGCTGCCTGGCTGAAGTGGCGCTCAATAACAGGCGTGCTGTGAGACCTACGCATCAACGACCGACTCAAGTCTAAAGCCTGGTACCCACATGCGGCAACGGATGACGGAAACGGTCGACGGAACGGCAAAATGACGTCACTTTTGCCGTCGACGTCGACGTCGACGGAATACGAAGTTGAAAATTTTCAACTTTTGCCGCGACGGAAAGCAAACGGTAAAAATTAGACCAATAGGAAGACCGTTTAGCAATGTCGTCATAAAGATCACGTGGGACGATAGCGTTTGAACTATGGCGGTCGGCAAGCTAAAAAGCTTTATTTGTACACTAATACGCTAATATATTTCATTTATACTCTATATTACTATCCGATTTAAATATTAATGTCAAATAGACTTACTTACTGCGTAAAGTATTGGGAATGGAGTAAGCGTAATTCGGCGACGAAAGTATTCCTAACTTTCGACGATTTAGAATATTTTTCCTATCCAAATTATTCGTTTTTGAGGTTTTTTTTATTTGTGATAAGATCGAAGGCAAACTTAAAAAGTTTAATTGGTATAACAAAGCAACCCAGTAGACGCCATTTTCGACTACTGGCACGTGGCCTACCAACTGTAGTAGATTGTTTATATTTACGGCTGGCAGATGGCGCGTTTCAATTGTAGCGTAATTTCCGCATGTGAGTACACGCGACACGGAAAGACGACGGAACGGCAACTCTTTTCCGTCGTTCGTTGCCGCATGTGAGTACCAGGCTTAAGATCTATCGAACCGTCGTCCGGCCTGTCGCGCTGTACGGCGCCGGGTGCAAACTTACTACGAAAGTCGTCAACCACCGACTTGCCACTATGGAGACTAGGATGCTGCGTTGGATGAGTGGCATTACCAGACTCAACCAAATACCTAATGTTGACATCAGAGACCATTTAGGCCTCGTTGAGATCAGCGAGAAAGCGCGCGAGTGTCTATGCGCCTCTATGGCTACGTGCACGTGCTCCGCGCCGATGCCGATTCCATCATCCACATGGGCCTACATTTGGAAATACCTGGGTCCGCCTGAGGCAGCGTTGGCTGGACACGCTGCATTACGACCATGGGCCTACATCCAGACTAGAGCCCTGATTGGGTCAAATGGCGATTCAGAATAAAATCCAGGTGTGCCGACCCCGTCATCAAGCGGGACTAAGGCCGAAGAGGAAGATTAATTATAATCTGATAAATATTAGACTTCGCAAGTTTTTTTAACCTACTGATCTTTCTTATTTTGCTAGTTTATTCCTAAAGAAATTTATAAACCTGCACTATACAGGATGTCTCATAAGTCTGGAACTAGAGGAGAGTGGCCATCTGAAGCTTATACTTTAATTCTGGTTAATTATAATTTCTTAAAATGGAATTTTGCTCTGTTATGTTAAAAAGATTGAACACTACCCCATTTTCTTCTGTTTTTATTTAAAAGTAATACAATATTAAATCTTTCCAATATAATATACTAAAATGAAATTTTGGCTCTATTATTATTAACCAGCTTTAAGTATGAACTTAAAATTTAATCAGATTTAAAGTTGGAGCTTCGGGCAACGTTGTGGTGTCATATACTCGTATGTAGTGTTCCGGCTTTTAGATAATAATGGCCATGATAATAATGGCCATGAGTTATATTGATCTTTGTTCAGTTTTGTCCAAGTAAAGCATGGCGCCGAATAAATAGGACCGAATTCAAATTACAGTATTTTGATTGTGGAGATTTGCAGTCAGCGAGAAGTCGTCAAAGTCTACATCCAGATTGTATCTAGACTGATGTGTGAAAATTAGTGAAAAGTCTCGATGCGGCATGTTAAACCCTAATACAATCCACGACTCACTTCGATCTCGATTTACCTACAATCTGAATTGTGACTGTCGCCAGTCGAACGTCATGCTGTTCGCACAGGCAATCCGCACGAGAAGAACCCGGCTATTATACGCGATAATAAGACTGACATACCTACGCGGTAAGTCACGAGCACCAACAAACAAAATGAAGTTTTGGTTAGATATAATTACTTTTTCTTGCCGTATATCTGATAATAGACAGATGTCATCGTCTCTCCAGATATCTTTTTTATTTTTCTGTCGATAGCCAGACACGTGTTCAGCAGCCATCTTGTATTTTCTCGCGCGCGTGGGATTGTGGGATCTCTCTTATGACTGGATCTAGTTTCAAGAACTCTCTCGAGTCGATCGCGATTTAACCTCGTTTCAGTCGAGATTGAAACGGTCGAGAGAGGTCGCGCCACGGAACAGTCTCCGACCTTGGTCACAATCTAGATAGAAATACTCGGTGCGAACGGGGTATAACACGACGACGCTGACTGGGGATCCTCACCATCAAAATAACTTGAATTTATACTTTCTTAGTGCATTGCAAAAAATTAAAATTAACATGGTGCTGGCCAGATGGCCGAGGCGGGAAAGGCATTGGTCTGCCTTTGTAGAAGACTCGAGATTGAATCCGGACAGGTAGAAAAATTCGAGGAATATTTTGGGGTAGTCTTTTTTTTTTACTCTTTCGCCCTGTGGGCACTAAGAGGGTCTCTTAAAGCAGGCCCATTATGGGTTTGGCCAGGCCCACAATGAGGCGACCGGGTGGTGAGGGACGGGACACGATATATCCGAACGACCACCCCGAAAAATTCCTGGGGATTCCTTGACCCGTCCAGATTCGATCCCGGATCCCCCAGAGCGGTAGGCTGCCACCTTGACCGCTCAGTCATCCGGCTTAATTTTGGGAGTAGTCTGTCCCGGATATATCGGGTCCCGTTCCTTACCATCAAGCCGCCTCATTGGCTTCACGATTTGGCAGAATCACGATTGGCTTCGATTTTCAATTTTTAATATAAAAATTGAATAAAAGGCTTATTTTTTCCACAGAGCGGAAAATTCTATGGTTTCAGACTTATATAACATTCTATGTATTTGAAAAGTAGTAATACAGTAAAGCGTCAATTTTCCGAATCAATTGGGGACTGAGGTTGTCCGGATTTACGTACGAAAAAATAGTTTAACGTATTCGATGTCTAAATTTTTCTCCGTTGCTTGTTGCTTCGCGTTGAATTTTCGTCGATGTTAAGCCTAACAAAGACTATTGTATCGTTAAAAATTATTTTTTTATTTTGTACAAACAAAATAAATATATTGAAAAATATAAAAATAATAAAAAATGATACTTCAGATGTTAATTTAGTATCAAAAACATAAAATATTTGAGTAGCCCAAGTCATAGCCAAAGATTGAAGCGCCACAGCACTGGCGAAAATTTAAATTTGCCGACTGCAATTCTTTCGGATGATTGACGTTTCGGATTATTGACTTTCGGAAAATCGACGCTCTACTGTAATATTTTCATATTAACCACATCAAAAAGTTTTAATTTTATTAAAAGCTTTTGAAATATAATTTCGTTAAAATATTTATGTACAAATCTAACTGTATAATATTTATTTCAACACTCATTTTCTAAAAACTGACAAAACTCGTCAATGGCACTGAAAATTTGGTATATAACATGACATTGTAATTTTTATACAAATTGCATCAAAGTATTAATTTTAACTTTTGTATATCTGTAACTCTTTATTGCAATATCATTGCAATGAAAAACTATATATATTGTATCAATATATACAGTATACAGTATATTTATTTTCATTGTAAGCTGACATAAAGTCTGCAATTATGTTATTCTTGCTCTCACCAGTAAGAATAACCCTGATATTTTGCGTTTTCCACATTTTTTGTAGTCTAAAGCAGTTTTCTGCGAACAATAGTAGATCTGTGTACTTTTATTACTTATTTAATCTATACATTAAAACTTTTTTATTATAAAAATTATCAATACTTTGTATTAGAATAATATTGTCAATTTAAAATAATCTGGTGCAAATTAATAATAATAAACATGTTCAAATACGGATAAATAATGTTTAAAATCACTTGTTCGGACATCATTCTTTTGTATAAAAGCGAAGGATTAAACGATAACATCTAGTGAATAGATAGAGTCATTTCTGGAGGCCAGAGGTGCTAAGCTCTTGAAAGGCTCCAGTTAAAGTTACTAGAGACTAAAAAATGTGTCCACGGCCGAACGGTGAGATATAGTCTACATCCAGACGGACCACTCCCGAAAAATTCCTGGAGTTTTTCAACGCTTCCGGATTCTATCCTAGGTCGCAGTAGGTTGCCACCTTGGCTGTTTGGACAGCTGGCCCTTCATAAAATTCGTCAAAATTCATCTTTTCTACTTACATTGTTAAATATTAAGTTTTAGTATTTGTTATTATCTTAAGAAATACAGTCGACCCCCCTATAACACTGTAGCTACGTTTCGTTCTTTATGAAATTGATGTTCTAAGAGTCCTTAAATACATGAGCCAATCACAGCTCGGCACGTATGCAGTTTACGGACTACGGCTGTTTGAAAGGTTTTCTTCCATAAAATTAATCGATTCTAGACTAATTCGACTCAACATTTCCAAAATACGTATAATTTTTTGGGAATAATTCATATAAACTATGCTATAAACAAAAAATTGTAGGATTACTTACCGAGTGTGCACCGTTCGACGACGCCATTGCTTAAGCTTGTTTTCATCGTGGAGCTTGTCATGGAATGGCGCTCGCGTGCTTCCTGATAAATTATTTTTTTTGCGAAAAATTCGCTGAACTTTGGAGACATCATTAATATAAATATAATTTTTATGGACGTTAAATAATAAATGGTTTTTAGTAGGTCCGCTGCT